ATTTATTTTTTGGTAGTACTGAAGTTTGAACCCAGAGTCTTTGTACTGAGCTACATCCTGAGATCCCTCTTTAAAATGTTTTCTTTTTTAAGTTTTGAGGCAAGGTTTTGTTAAAAGCTAAGTTGCTCAGGCTAGGCTTGAATTTGTCTCCTGTCTCAGCCTCCCAACATATAGGGATTATAGGCATGCATCACCATGACTGGTTCATTCTAGTATAAACACTTAAAATTAGGAATTATCTAAATGTTCAGGAATGGGGAGATAGCTGGGTGGTCTAAGCATCTGCCTGGCAAGTGTAAGGTCCCGAGTTCAATGCCTGGTGCTGTATGTGGTGCCAGCCCTGCAACCATGGCTGTTCCTGCTGGCCACCAAAACCAGGTGTGGTAGCACACACCATAATCCCAGCTCTGAGAAGGCTGAGACAGGAGGATCACTATGAATCCAAGCTATGTAGTGAGACCCTGTGTCAAACAAATAAATAAATGAAAGATTAAAAATAAAAAAGAAGTGTCCAAATATGGATTAAATGTTACTAATGTCAGTGTAGTTAATATAACATTCACAAACTGTTTATGACTAGCAGCTTAAAATATATTTTAATATTAATACTTTTTGAAATAGTTGAAAGTATTTTGGGGATGTATTTCAATACATGTATACAATGGGTAATGATAGGATTAGGATAATCAGCATATTTGTCAGTTCAGACACCTATTATTTTTGTGTTTGGAACATTCAAAATTCCTTCTACTAGTGTCTCAATTATTTTTCACTCATGGCTAGTACAAAAATATCCAACACCCAAAATGAAGGAAGGAAAGGTTTAGTTAGTTCACAGTTAGTGGAGGTTTCAGTCCATACTCTGCTGGCTCCAAGGAAAATGGCAACAGAAAACAACTAAGAGAAGAGGAGCAACAGCTGCAGCATCTATCAAGTCTCTCTCTCTTCCTTCTATGCCAACTTCAAAAACCCGAGCTCCTCTGATCAAGCTCCAAGGAAGTGGTGCTGCAAATCTCAGAGCTCCTCCAAGGAAGTGGCGTGTGCAGAAGCCTTCCTCAACCCCTTCATTATACCTTTTCTCTGCTGAGTCACTCTGGAGAGGGCCCTCCCAGGCCTAGGGCGGGGTCTCCCATTCCCCAGGGTGTAGAGTCACCAAGTAGATCCACCCAAGCTTCTGACAACTCAAGTTGACACAATGTATCACCCACCACAACTAGTTCTGTTAAAATAATCAGTGTTAACCATCCATAGTCCCCTAGTGTGCTAGAGAACTTCAAAAATTATGTGCCTCCTACTAAACTGCCCTGTAACACAGACTGCTTTCTCCTTGTCCCTCATTTTTGTATATATTTGTTGGCCATTTGTATATTATTTTTGAGAGATGTCTATTCAAGTCATTTGCCCATTTTTTAAGGAGAAACATTTTTATAAATTCATTTCTGATCTATATGTAAAAATTCTCATATTTGATAAGTGTAAGAATATAGTAGAGCTCTGTTAGCAGAGCATTTTAATCATTTTGATGATTTTAAGGGATATAGCAATATTTATCTATTAATCTGTAATTGTTTTACATATGCCAGAATAAAGATCTTTACATTATTATTATTATTATTATTATTATTATTATTATTATTTTGCTTTTTAAATATTTATTTATTTTATTTATTTATTTATTTTGTAGTGCTTGGGATTGAACTCAGGACCTTGCACTTACTAGGCATGTGCTTATGCCACTGAACTGTCTCCCTGGCCCTGCATTTTTTAAAGCAATAAAAAATAGTAAAAAAAAAAATTAGAAATGATACAGAATTTCCCTAAACAAAATAATAAGAATTCAACAATGGTTGTTATATTTGATGTTTTCTTCAAATTAATTGTTTAGATTACCAGATATAAGTATGCAAAATTGGTTAAAAAAAAAAAGCATTAGCTGCTCCTTTCAGTAGACCAGCAGAAATCAGCAATATAATTATTTAAGCTATCTTGTATGTATGCATAAATACATTTTTTCTTTCCTTCTTTCTTTCATTTGTCCTTTTCCTCATGCCAGTTTTTCCTTACCTTTGAATAGACTCTTTCCCTTTCACACTATCTATTATATCTTTCAGATTTTATTTACTCTTTTAGGTTCTTACACTAGCAAGACAATACAATGTTTAAACACACGGGTCTGATTTAATTTAGAGTATAGTCTCTAGTTTCACTCATTTACCTAAAAAGGCCTTGAGTTTCTCTTTTTTATAGCCGAGTAATACTCTATTGTGTGAAAATACAACAGCTTTTTTATTCATTCCTCATATGATGGGCATTTGGTTTGTTTCCAAAATTTAGCTATGATAAATTGTGCTGCTATAAACATGGTGCACATATATCGCTGTGGTATGCTGTTTTCACTTCTTCTAAAATAATATCCAAGAGGGGAATAGCTGGGTTGGAGAAGACCTCCAATCAGCTTTCTGAGGAATTTCCTTACTGATCTCCATAGTAACTGTACCAGTCTACCTTCACACCAACAGTGGAGAAGGTTCATTTTCCCCCACAGCCCCTCAAGCATTTGTTATTGGTTGACTTCTTGATGTTAGCCATTCTTTCTGGGATGAGATGGAATCTCAGTGTGGTCTTAATTTGTATTTCTCAAATGACCAATGATGTTGAACACTTTTTCATGTATTTATTTGCCATTTGTATTTATCTGAAAAGTGCATATTCATCTCAGATGTCCATTTTTGGATTAGGTCTTTGAATTTTGGGGGCCTGATTTTTGAAATTCTTTGTATGTTCTAGATAGATGTCCTTTGCTTGAGGGGATAGTCAGCTAAGGTGTTTTCCCAATTCATGAGGTTTCCATTTAATTTTGTTGGTGATTTCTTTTTATGTGCAGAAAATTTTCAAAAAGATAAGATGCCAGTTGTTGATTCTTTGAAGTATTTCTCATGTAGTTTTGTTTTTGTTCATGAACTCTCTGCCTACCCCTGTGTCTTCAAGATTTCTACCTACATTCTCCTCCATCAGATTTAGTGTTTCTGTTTTAATATTTAAATCTTTGATCCATTTTGAGTGCAGTTTTGTGCATAATATAGATGAGTCTAATATTAGTCTTAAGCATGTTGAAAGCCAGTTTTTCCAGCACTATTTATCGAAGAGACTATCTTTCAGTGAACATATTTGTCACCTTTATGAAAGATAAGGTGGATGAATATGTTTATAGTTGTGTCTGCATCTTCTAATCCATTCCATTGATCCTTAGATCTTTTTTTTTTTTTTTTTTTTGCCAGTACTATACTGAGTTTATTACAGTAGCTTTGTAGTATAATTTCAAGCCAGGGATTGTATTGTCTCCGGTCTTTCCTTTGTTTCCCAGGATTGCTTTTGCTATTCTAAGTCATGAATTTTTAGGAATGCTTTTCTACATCTGTGAAGTATACTAATGGAATTTTAACCAGGATTGCATTGAATTTATATAACAATTTTGGCAGTATGGTCATTTTCACAATTTTGGGTCTTCTATCCACAACCAAGGAATAGTTCCATTTTCTGAAATCCTCTTCTATCTCTTTTGTTATATATTTGTAGTTATACAACAAAACCTAAAACAAACCAGAAAATTATATACAGTAAATATCCCCTCAGTAGAGTAATTTTGTACTCAAGGGATAAAATTTAAAGGAGAAGAGGAAAATATAAAGACACAGAAGAATAGAAAGAGATTGGAAGCAAGACTGACAGACAAAGGAAGATTATGCAAGCTTTGGGAAACCGAAGAAGACAGGAGGGAAAGAGAAATGGAACAGACAGAAACAGCAACAGAACAAAATAAAAAAATACCTAAAAACAATGTTCACACTCATATAAAACAAAAACAAAGAAAAAAGAAAAAAAATCAAAGGAAGGGAGAAAAAGTGTCCACTTTAGGGTGTATCTCTGTTGTCTCCAGTAGACAAAGGGGAGAAACAGAGCTCAGATCTGTATTGGTTCACAGGCAGCCTGCCATAAAATTACAGTGGGGTTGTGGGTAATCCCAGCAAGCCTGCACTTTGAACTACTGATGTTCAGGATGGTCTTGTTTTCTGGCTGTGAGGCTGGGACCCAAGATATTAGGCTCAGAATAGTTCAGTTGCCTTTTGCTGGCTTGAGCTTGGTTCCCTGCCATGGGTGTTTCCCAGGGCTGTGCCTAACTGACACTGGGATCTCCCAGATGGAACCAAGCCACAGTCACTCTGAGTCCTGGGTTCAGTCAGTCCTTTTCCAAAATGGCAACCCACCAATCACCCTTTTCTGGAGACATTTGAATTGACATCACTCAGCAGCCACTGTAGCCTGCAGCATTTACTTCTGTGCTTTACTGGTGTGTTGCCCTTGGAGGCCTGTGGAGTCACCCATGATCACCATGCCTCTGTAAACTCAATCCCACGCTGTGAGCTGGGATTCAGGGAGCAAGCACTGTTTTCCACCTCTCTCTTCTGCACTGAGATCCCTCTTTCCTCTCCTGTGGGCCTCAATTCCCGCTTCAGATCCTTGCTAGGTCCTGGGGGCCCACTTCCTTCCTTCTTCTCTTTGAGATATTGTTAAATTCCAGTGTCTGGACTCCAAATCTCAGAGAAACTAATTTGCCACTGCTCAAGATATTTTAAATTGTGCTATTTCTATTATTGCAAATAATCAACAAATATAACTTTTAAATGCTTCCTAGTTTCTTTTTAAAAAATATACACACTTAATGAGGATCACTGTGATATTTTCATACATGCCTTAATCAGGTGTATTCACACTTTATCCTCTTCCTTTCCCCATACTCCTTTCTATGGCACCCTTCCTGTCCTTATTAATTCATTTTCTACCTGCAGCTTGTCCCTTCACTTCCACCCCATTTCTTCTTATTCCTCCTTTCCCTCCAGGTGGGTCATTCAGGTCAATTAACTTTGAATTCTGATGTTAATGTTTACCTGCCCTGTTTATCCCTCCCACTTGTAGGCAGGGCAATGCTCTTGTGATTTAGACGGCAGAGACTGGAGCATTCAAGGACAGTGAGGGGAAGCAGTGATCCAGAGCCCACTGCACCATGAGCATTGCTGCACTCAGCCCCACCAGCTTCCCAGGCAGCATCTCTGGGCTCCTCCAAGTGGCCTCCCTGCTTGGCCTCCTGCTGCTGCTGCTCAAGGCAGTCCAGCTCTACCTGCACAGACAGTGGCTGCTCAAAGCTCTCCAGCAGTTCCCGTGTCCACCCTCACACTGGTTCTTCGGGCACAAACATGAGGTAGGAAGGAGATGAACAAGGTGGTGGGAAGGGAGGGAAGGATGGGATTCTAAGATACTGAGAGGGAAATGCACAGGACAAAACCTCCAAATTCAGTGATTCATATGCTATGCAAGTGCTCTACTACTGAGCTACACCCACAGTCTTACAGGACAAAGCCTCTTATATGATGATTGTATGTCTCCCGGGGAACACCCAGCATAATTCTCAGGCTGGGATCACCAAAATAGTGAAGAGTTCCTTCACAAGAATCCTGGCCTACTATCACTCAGCTCTGTTACATACTCTTTTCTTTCTTTTTATTTTATCTTATTTTTTATATTTTAAAGAATACAAAATAATGGTGGAAAAATCAGCATTAGAAAATTTAACTAAATGAAGTAAAAGGAATTCAACAATGATTGCTGTATTGCATAACGCTATCTTCTTATGCAGATATATACCCTGTCAGCCTTGTAGTTTGAGGGCTGTGCTTGGCTCTTCTTGAGTCTCCTCTTCTCCAGGGTGAGCATTTAAAGAAGCCTCAGCTGTTCTCAAAAAGCAAGGCATCTAGGTGCTTCCTCGCATCCATCATTCAATTCGCCCTTTGTCCCTGTCCCTGAGCTTACCCAGGAACAGAGACATCAGTTTTGTTTTGTGATTTTTTGTGGGCAATAATAGACAAATCTCAAAAGGTATCAGGTCACAGAAAAATCTCAGAGGGTCTCTGATGGGGTGGGTAGATGATATTATTTGGACAGACCACTCACTACATTTGCCTGAGAGTAAGGAATCTTCCAGAATGGGTGATTTTAGAAAGGTGCAATCTTCACAGTGGTTACACACATGTGAGGCACAGAGCTGCATGGTGTCTCAAAGGTGAAGAGGACAGATACCTGAGCTGCCTGATGAAACAGGAACTATTTACTTAATTTTCTTGTATGCACAGAACTGTGTATACTTTGGAGTTCAGCACTCTCTGCTCTTTCTACACCTGCAAAGAAAGAGCTGGGTACAGTTGAGCAGGCTCAACAAGGAAGCAGGATAAGGAGGAACCTGAGCTCTGAGTATGGATTATGCTGATCCCCTGTGCTGGCCAGTCCTGTGGGGAGAGGAGGAAAGCTATACCACTCTCTTCTACACTGAGGTGAAATGACTGGCATCAAGGGGAAATTGAATATGCAAACCATTACAATTAGCTAGAGAGAAATATCTAAATTCTGATAGCCAATGTTTGATCACACAAATTTTAATATTGACTTCCAGATTATTTGTTGATCTTTAAGATATTGTAACTTTTGTTTCATCTAACTGTCACACACTGAATGATGCTCTCATGTGGGCTAGATTATTTATCGTGTCAACTTCTTTTTACATAGATTGTGTTACTCCTGGTGCTAAATCACCTCTCAATTACCACTAGCCAATAGCAATTTTAGCCAAATATCTCCATCTCTTCTAATACTGAGAATTTTATTTATTCACTACCTCTATTAGTGGCTAACCAAAGAACAAGAATGCCACATGTAACTAAGTTGAACCAATGGCAGTGTCCAGGAGCAGGATTTATAGGTAGCAGACTTAGAAAGGGCACCAAGTCTTTCAAAGGAGTGTTGAACAAGGTCTCCCAAACCTTTTCAGGGCCAACATGAGGGATCCTGGGTGAAAAAACTTTGTAGCTAGGGGTTATAGATTCCTAGTTCCTGCAGTGCATCAAATGACAATGAAGTTTCTATGAAGGACATATCCAGGAATGCTAGTGCAGCCTTTTTAAGGAATGTAAGCAAGACAACACAGGTCGGCATTCACTGCTCTTCATATATCTCATTAGATTATACACTCCATGATAGGATGAATTGTATTAGTTCATTGACTACACAGAAAGCAATTGACACAAAGTGCTTAATAAAGAAGAGTGAATCCCTCCATGCTTCCACTTGTTCATATATTTACTCAATGTTTCTTATGGAAATACTTTCACACTTCTGCCTACATTTCTTTTTTTTTTTTTTCAGGCTTCTACTATCCAAACAGGTTAACTCTAAAGCCCTTTGCAATCCCAGCCGCAGGTGACTGGACTAGATAGGCACCATGATTGGCACAGTCAGATTCTCAGAACAGAATTTAGCATATTATGCAGACATGATGTAGCTATTGGTGAACAAAAGCCAAAGAATTCTTGTGTTTCCATTGATTCATGGTTGTCTTACCAGCTTTTGACACAGTAAGGCCTCAACAGCTATTTGCTAGCTGAATGAATAGGCATAGATATGCAAAAGGAGAGACCTTGTACTCCTGGGTTCTGTCCCTCTTGCACTCGGTAACTTCCTGTCCTTTAAGGTACACTGCCATGCCCCAAGCCTTCTTTCATTTCTTCCTCTTCCTCCTCCTCCTCTTCCTCCTTTTCTTCCTCCTGTTCTTCTCCTTCCTCTCCCTCTCCCCCATCTCCCTCCTCCTCCTCCTCCTCCGTCTTCTTCCTCTTCCTCTTCTTCTATAGTCCAAGATTTTATTTGGTCCTTGAAATAGAAATTTTAATGAAAAAAAAAAAGAAAGAAATTTTAATGAAGACTCACTCACCCACTTTCCCATGTGCCATCATTCGTTCCTTCACATTTTTTAAAAAAATAAAGCATGGTTTTTACAAGCCATGCTGTATATGTGGCTCTAAGAACAGAGAGATGACAGATAGCAAAGGTCAGTTTGCCGAAACATGTTAAGTATTAGGACACTGAGTAAATATATGATAATAGAGAGACACCCAGGAGCACATTGAAGGACACTGTGGGATAACAGGATTAAATTTAATGTGACCTCACAGGAAAATGAACATTGGTTTCCTCATTCTTCAGTGAAACAGATAAACTACTGATCCATCCTTGACCACAGAATGGCCTTGAGCATTACATAATTGATCACTTTGCTGAGGCTACCACGACAAAGTCACAGACCATGTGGGCAAAGCAAGAGAAATGTATTGGCAAGCCGGGCTCCTTCTGTTGGCTGTGGAAGAACACTTGCTCTACACCTGTCTATTTGGATTGTAGATGACCCACTTCTCCCTATCTCTTCACACTAGCCTCTCCCCATCCATATCACTGTGTCCAAAATTCTTCTTTTTATAAAGACATCCTTACACTGGATTAGAGCCCACTGTAATGATCTCACTTTATATTGGTGAAGTACTACAGCCCTGTGGTCATTTAGCATTCATCCTTGCTCCAATAAATGAATTTTTTTTCAAGAAATGAGTTTTAAAAATAGAATTATTAAATTTCTTTCCCTCCACGACAGTTCCAAATAGACCAAGAGCTGGAAAAACTGGTAAAATGGGCAAAAGAATTCCCAAGTGCCTGTCCTCGCTGGCTCTGGGGGACCAAGGTTGTCATTGTGCTCTATGATCCTGACTACATGAAGGTGATCCTGGGGAGATCAGGTGAGAGTGAAACCCCATCCCAATAGTATCATCTCTTCCCTCCTGAGTCCATAGCCTAGAATCTCTAAAATTACAGAAGATGGTGGCAGTTCAAATCTTAATACATGAATCTTCTACCTATTTCCCTTTCCTTCCAGCCTGTAGCCCAGCCTAAAGCCAATAATATTTTTTCAGTGTACTGAGTAATGTAAAACAGCTCTGTGTGTCTGAATTTTTCTTCCTTCCATAAATGATGTGATCTGTTAACTTGTTGCCTCATATATAAAAAATAATTTCATACTCAAAGTGATGTTGGTATAAAAGCTCTAATTTTCTCCTTTCTTCAGTAACAAAACCATCATACATCCATTGTAGAAAAACCACAAGGCTCTTGTTCTTGGTCATTGAATATATGATGGTTTGCGTTTTTCACCACCTCTTCATCTATGTCACTGGGGTGTTGTTCAGCTGCTGGTACTCAGGAATGGTGTTTCTGAGCCCAACTGACAGGACAGAGCTAAAAGATGAGAGGCTATGGGAGGAGACATGGAACAAATTGCCAACTGACAGTCATCAGGAACTCATGAAGCCCATTGCCCCAATTTTAGCTCTCTTGAGGCTACATTATTTGGTCAATGTCGATTTCATATAAAGCTCTTGTTTTTCTTTCAGACCCCAAAGCTCATAGTACTTACAGATTACTGTCTCCTTGGATTGGTACGTACACCTAAAACCTGATCATTCCCCAAATAGAGTTCCTGAAATATATCTCTCTGATCCACAGAGAATAAGCCCTTATGGGTCACCACTGTAATGGCCAATCTGTAAATCAAGACTTATTTCTCTCCTTTTAACTGAATCCTCATAATACCCTCATCCTGGTGAGTCTCCCTGGGAACATCTCCTTCCATATTTCTCCCTACTTTTCTACATTCTCATACTAATTTTTATTACCCTGTTGTCAATACTATACAACCTTTATCTTCCAGCTGTCATAATCATGTGTGATTACTAGAACAATGGGAAGATTTACATTCTTGAAAACTATCAGCCTTCACTCTCTTCCTCCAGGAGATTCTGCCTGATTTTCTTTCTCTAGACTTTCCTGATTTTCCTTCCCCAGAACATCACCGTTTATGTCACCCCAATTGTTCCACTTTTTCTCTCTGATTTCACTGCTCACACACTCATGCACACACCTTCTCCTTCACAGGCTATGGTTTGCTCCTGTTGAATGGGCAAACATGGTTCCAGCACCGGCGGACATTAACCCCAGCCTTCCACTATGACATCCTGAAGCCCTATGTGGCCGTCATGGTCAACTCTGTCCGAGTGATGTTGGTGAGTCTATTATTTCCACACTTCCACTCACAGCACACATTCCTATTCTTCTCTCTGACACAAACCACCCTAAGTGATAATCATATGAATAACACCCCAGGCCATGGATAAATTAGTTCCTCAAATCAGATTTGACAGCAAGGCATGGTGCCACATGCCTATAATCATAGCACTTGAGAGACTAAAGCAGGAAGACAATGAGTTGAAGTCCATCCTGGCTTCACAGTAAGTTTGGGGCACCCTGATTTACATGGAAAAACCCTCTAAAAATAATTAGATGAGACATACAGGAGCTTGACATCAAGATTAAGCCACACCATCCAAAGCAGAGAGGAGTGGTGGACACTGGCCCCATCTCCCATTTCCAGGACTCCATTATAGTGAACAGAAGAAGTCAGCCCTACTAGACAACAGGACTACTTGTCCCTGGCTGTCCTGGGCACTGGCAGCTTCAGTGGCCCAAGGACCTCATAGTGTGTCATTCAGTCACCTGAGTCCATGGATTTTTTTTTCTTTTATTTATTTATTTTTAATTTTTCTTTTCTTTGGAGGAACCAGGGTTGAACTCAGGTCCTTATGCTTGCCAGGCAGACGCTTATTCTACTGAGCCATCTCCCCAGCCCCCTAGTCCATGGATTTTGAATGACAAATGCAATGAGATGGACACCAGGTCTGCATCTTTACAGACTGATTTCTGGCCCAACTGTTCTCAGAAAACTTTTAACGAGTAAACAGGAATGAAAGTCCCTAATGGGCCCCATTAGAGGTTCCTAGAATGGAAATTTTGCCTTGACACATTTACCTCCTAAAATTAGAGTCCCAGTAATCTCTCTCAGGCCAAGCTTAACTCGCAGAGTGTTGAAAAGGTCACTTCTTTATATATAAAAACCTGTTACCCAAATAATTTTTTTCAGACCTTATGGGATATGCTATGTTTAATTTTCAGACAGTTGTGAGATTGTAAGTGTCATTTAACAAAATTTGCTTTTGCAATCTTTGATTCATCTGTTTTCTAAAGAACTCAGAACAGGATATCTGAAAATATAAGAGAAAAGTGAAGTCTATTTAGCTCAGAATTTCTGGGGAAAAGAAGGTCAATGCCGCCTTCCCACCACAGGACAAATGGGAGCAGCTCATCAGTCAGGACTCCCCTCTGGAGATCTTTCAGTCTGTTTCCTTGATGACGCTGGACTCCATCATGAAGTGTGCCTTCAGCCACCAAAGTGGTACCCAGTTTGACAAGTAGGTGACAATGCTTTATTTACAAAGTCCTTTTTAGTTCTGGTGTGGACCTGACTTCTTGTTACTACTGAGAGCCAGGTGGGGCAGCTTGAATACTCATCTCCACACAAAGCAAGATTCTGCCTCTAGCCTCAGGCCAGCTCTAAGTCTTCATCAGACCCAACACTGTCCCAGTCACAGATGCCTGACCCCTAGATTGGAAGGATGCCAGGATATTTTGCCGTGTCCTTACAATCTGAGAGTAACATGGGCCTCAGTATTGTGTGTCACCGTCATTAAGAAGATCACCACTCTAGGGCCATCCAGGTCAGACTTCTTCAGACTTTAATCTATTCTGCATCCTCTTCCTCAGGAATTCTCACTCCTATATCCAAGCAATTGGAGACCTAAACAGTCTGACTTTTACCCGTGTGAGGAACATCTTTCACCAGAATGACACCATCTACAGTTTGTCTTCAAATGGCCGATTGTTTAAACAAGCTTGCAAGCTTGCCCATGAGCACACAGGTTCTGTCTCCTGCTTCTCCTCCTCTACCAGTCTCTGACCAGTGGGGTTGGTCATGACCCCTCAGGTGGAGAGCCATGGCCCCTGGTATTCCTGGAGGACCTGGGATGCACTTATGTTGGTACATCCCTTATGTAAGGGAGCTGTGATATTAGTGTGTAAGGTGGTACGCAGAGGATTACTTGTGCCCTCACACTGGTGATGCTGAATGACCCCATCTCAAAAACATTCAAGAGAGACTCCATGGGTTGTGCTCTCATGGTGAGACCTGAGATGCATCAAATGGTACTGTAGACTCCCAAATCCTAACCCACACTCATATCTCTACAGGGCTTCCAGATGGGGCGGGGTGAGGGTGTAGACACATGGGGCTACTGTGGGTTGCTTTAGCTCCCAGATCTACCTAGTAACCTCTGTCCTGCAACAGACCAAGTGATCAAGCAGAGGAAGTCTCAGCTCCAGGATGAGAATGAACTAGAGAAGATCAAGAGGAAGAGGCACTTGGATTTCCTGGACATCCTCCTTTTTGCCAGAGTAAGCATGAGTGGGAGAGGCCTAAGGCTTTTTCCAGAAGAGCAGAAGGAAAAACTCTGACATTTACCTGTGTCTGTCCCCAGATGGCGGATGGGAAAAGCTTATCTAACAAGGACCTGCGTGCTGAGGTGGACACCTTCATGTTTGAGGGCCATGATACCACAGCCAGTGGCATCTCTTGGACCCTCTATGCCCTAGCTGCACACCCCGAGCATCAACAGAAGTGCAGGGAGGAGGTCCAGAGCCTCCTGGGAGATGGATCCTCCATCACTTGGTGAGTAAGAGCTCAAGAAGTAGGATAGCACAGCCTCTTTCATAGGGGAAGACCTTGGTTTTCCCAGATCTTTTCTGTCTTTAAAGATAAGCTTCATTTCAGGGAACAGCTGGACCAGATGCCATATACCACCATGTGCATCAAAGAAGCCTTGAGGCTCTATCCACCTGTACCAAATGTGAGCAGAGATCTTAGCAAACCTGTCACCTTCCCTGATGGACGCTCCTTACCTAAAGGTATGACATTCCCCGACTCACTTAAGGAAGCACAGGGAAGATTGGAAGTCTACATGTCCTTCAAGAATTCTGAACCTTGTGGAGTCTCCCTTTCTTTATCAGTAAATTGGATCCTTAATTTGAAGTTAGAAAATGGTTTATGAATTCTTGACCCAGAGCTTGAATCCATCACCATCTCAGCAAGTCAATGTGAAGCTCTAGATTAAATACTGACTTCAGGACATTAGCTCTGAAATTCTCATTCCTTGAGTTGTGTGGAGCAGAAAGAATCAGATAAAAACTAAGGAGATGTGGCTGTTTCCATTTATGAAAGCAAATTTGGGAGATGATGGATCCCCATGTTATAGATAAAAATATAATCCATTCTCTGATGAGCCATTGGGTTCATTGAAGATAGCAGTTGATGAGCTGATCTGAGAACCCCCTAGAAAGAAATCTCCCATTTGCTCAGTCAGTATTGGTCCTGATCCCAGCCTGTCACATCCAACCTGTGTGAACATGGGGAAGATCATCAGCTTCACTGAGACTTCAGTATCTGAAAAACAGGTATAGAGCAGTGTCTTTCTTGGACACGCTTGTGTATACTGAGCAAAGTAATGCTTGCAATGGCTCATGGAAGGCATTTGATAGATGTGAGTTGTCATGAGCCAGAATCCTCTAGTTCTTTCTTCCTTTTATCATTTTGCCATTTTCTGCTCCTTGTTTGTTATAGGTGCTTTGCCATGCCCACCCTTCCTCCTCGTAATAGGATCATCCTGCTAAAAGTGTGAATTGCAGCACACAGGCCTTTTCTGTATGTCTGTTCCCTACTGGCTCAGGCCATGGCCCTACCCCATGGATGTAATCAGTCTTCTCTCTGTCTCCTCCCCACCCCACAGGTATCACAGTCTCACTCTCTATTTATACCCTTCACCACAACCCGAAGGTGTGGCCAAATCCAGAGGTATGAGGGCCCCAGAGGAGTGGAGGAGGTGACCCGTTAGAGTGAATATTCCCTTGTTTACCCTCCTGTGCTTCCAGCCCCCACCCCTGGGCTTCCTGTCTCATTATGGAAGCACAGGCTTGACCCTCCCTATCCTGACCTGGTTGTCTCTCTGCAGGTCTATGACCCTTCTCGGTTTGCACCAGATGCTACTCGACACAGCCATGCATTCCTGCCCTTCTCAGGAGGATCAAGGTGTGGGATCTCACACTGTGTGTGTGTGTGTGTGTGTGTGTGTGTGTGTGTGTGTGTGTGTATGATCCTCTTGGTACATATCTGACATCTGTGACCATCTAAGTTCCTATGTGGCACCTGCAGGTGTGTCTTTGTGTTTTATGGTAAGAAGAATCATGTGGGTGAGTCTGTGCCCCAAAGAAAAGTGGCATTTCTGAACACACCATGCAGTTTTGACCCACTTATCTTCACTGCGTTAAGGAAGGACAAAGGGAAGACTGCATTCTCCACACACAACTCTGGCTGGCCATCTTCCCAGCAGGCAGTCAAAAATCCATGTCAGTATACATTTCAAGCACTGTATTTTGGTGTTTTCCTCACTTTTGAAGTTTGAATTTCCAGATATCTTTTTTCATGTAAACTTGTATTTTTTTCATGTAGCCTTCAGCTGCTAGTTTTAATCAATTGCCAGGCATCTGAAAGGTTAGATATATCTCTTCCTACATTCTCAGCACAGCCCACCATCTTTTTTCCCCTTAGTTCACCAGTCACTGATGAATAACTGAAATGTTTTTATATATTTAGAATCCCACCAGCCTCACTGGTGCTACTGTTGAAGCCACATATCTGAAAGTGTGTTGCCTATTACATAGAAAGAAGTGGACAACAAAGAATAGTGTCTCATATATTCTGAGCTTTTGTCCCTCAATTTTACTTTTTATTAATACCACACATCTATGTCAGCTAACTCAGTCAGGAAAATACTTTAAGTGAACAGGGGCTGCTACACATTCACCTAGGTCAACTTTGACAAAAATACAAGAATGGGGTATTAACTGCCTCTGAGAGAAATTCTACAATGTAATTATGACCATAGAACACACTAGGTTGTACAGTAACAGATACTCCTGAAAGAGCTGCTGAGTTGGATAAGTACATTCCAAATGTTTTCTGTGAAAATCCACAAGGGCTGCAGGATTTGTCTTGTGGAATATGCCTTGGCATAATAGTTGTAAATAATTAGTAAAAAGATTTTGTCTGAATTGATTCTGTGAATTCCACCATGCTGCATAAATGTTCATAGAATAGGCTTTAAGTATGTTGTTTTTTCAAAAACCATCTTTCTAGGATAAGTTTCCTCAAGTTTGAGTACATCTTCTTATCTATTAGGTACAATTCATGACATTATCATTGGAGGATAGGACAAGAGAGTCTGAGGTAGCTTAAATACTAGCTAGAAAATTTACCCTCTGCATATTCTTTTGCATTTTATTTTATTTTTGTTTTAAAGTTCAACGAACTTCATGAAAATACAAAGGTACTGGAAAATACATTTATCTGTGCCAAGTTCTATACTAAGAAGTAAGAACACAGAGCCCCTGGTTCAGTGACAAGAACAGAAGGTGTTTTATAGAATTAGACATCTGTATACAACATGGACCACTCTTTCCATCATTCCTTCCCTCTCTCATGTGGAATGTTCCATGTTCCTGACACTGTTTTAGGCCCCAGATTGCGGGGTGCTAGTGAATATAGCACTGAGGGTGCCGTGGGGGCCCAGTGGCTAGAGGGACAGTAGCAGAGGGGTGAAAGGCAGCTGATCATTGGCCTGAGCCTTGAGGATGTGCAGGCAGAGGGAGAGAGAGAGTATGCCCAGTGGCTTCTATATGAATAAGGATGTAGGACTGGACAGGCATAAAGAGAATGACAGAATCCTCTTGCCAGAACATAGACGTGGTGGTGTAGCTGGCATTTGGAAGCATTTGGACACAGTCCTGCCTGGTGGAGAGCATAGGAAGACCAGTGTGTGTGTGTGTGTGTGTGTGTGTGTGTGTGTGTGTGTGTGCATGCGTGCATGCATGTGTGTGTGTGTGTGTGTGTGTGTGATGCACACAAGAGAATTCTAAAAGAGGAAACTTTCCTGTCAAAGTGGAAGACAGGGATACTTCTGAAATAATATTAGAAAGCTACTAGTGCTTGTGCACAAAATGGATATATGGGAAGCAAGGTGCTGACTCAAGGGCCCAATGCTGATTATTGAGTGAGAAGCAGATGGCTACAGTGAGAGGATCTTTATTTCAAAAGCCTCTCCACTGATGCCTGACTGCTCTTACAAATGTAAATGCTTTGTTCAAAAAGACAGTGATCCATGGGAGTGTGGCCCACTCTGTCCTGTGTAGCCTTGACCAGTGTTCTCCACATTATGAAACCAAAGACCCTTAGAGGGGAAATGAACTAACCACAGGGTAGGACTCTGTGCCTCAGAGTACTGGCCTTGTCTTAATGGAGATTTCATGGCTCTGAGAGCTGAGAAGGGTCAAGCAGAGCATTGGAAGAGTAGGAGGCACTGACAAACGTCAAGAGGGCATAAACCAAAAAAAAAAAAAAAGGGCATAAACCAGGGCCTGGAATAGAAATGTAAGTGACTGTGAGGAAAGGGGTTGTTTGGTCTGGCCATAAAGGTGCACCCTGAATGCCCAGCTCTGGGCTGGGGCTCACATACCAAGGTCTGGCCATCTTTTGAACAGAGCCTGAAGCCACTTCTCATTTCACTGTCCCTTGCTCACCTAGGAATTGCATTGGGAAACAATTTGCCATGAATGAGCTGAAGGTGGCTGTGGCTCTGACTCTGCTCCGCTTTGAGCTGTTGCCAGATCCCATGAGGATCCCACAACCTGTGGCACGACTTGTGCTGAAGTCCAAGAATGGGATCTACCTGCGTCTCAGGAAGCTGAAGTAATCCTGGTGGGGACAAGGACAGTGCTGAGAGTCTCCTGCCTGACATCCCATTTCCCTGTGCCTGTTCCAGTACATTCCTCCACATCCTTCTTTCTAGCCTTCCATCCTCCTACCTGCCTGTTCTGTGCTGCCTTTCTTCCTGGATGTCTGCTCTTAAATCTGTCTATCCACCTCCCATCTGCCTGCATTTCTGTCCATCTAACCCCTGATTATTTGCCTTCTCTTTAACAGCCTGACCCTCTACAGCTTTTTCCTTTCTGTTACTTGACTGCCTTTGTAGTAGCTTCCAAATGCTACTATAATAAATTACCAACACACACACACACACACACACACACACACACACACACACACACCCCTTGGTGGCTTTACGTGACAAAATTCTCCTTTTAGTTCTCAAGATCAGAATTATAACATGAGTTTCATTGAGACACAACTAAAGTAACTGCAGGGCTATAATACCTCCACACCTGTTCATGTGCCTTCTCTTTTCCCTTTTCCATTATGTAGAACTGAATTCCTTGGTTTTGAGACTTTTCCTCAATATTCAAATCCTGCAGCATCTTCAAATTTCCCTCATTCTCTTTTCACCACTTATCTGTTATAAGGATATTTGTGACCACATTTTACCCACTGTGATAACACAGGAAATATTCACAGTTGTCCTGTGAATAGTTCTACATCTTGGGAAGCCATTATTCAGCCCCATCTTGACTTTCACCCAATCTCTCCAACTAAATCACTCTTCATGGTCCTGAATACCTCTGTCTCCCTCTTCTCTGTAATAAGTTTTCCAAAATCACATGTTGTACTCATCGCTTCTTGGAAGGATAGAGACCCACGAGGGGTCTTCAACCCCTCCCTGTGGTGTGAGAACCTCATGGCAGCCTGATCCAGCCTACCCATTTCAGGTGATTTCACCTTGTGACCCTGATGGCCCACATACACCTAGCTTCTGAGTCTGCCAAAGTGGCTGTATTAGAAAAACAATCCTTTTCTAGTATCTCAGAGGGAGATATACCTGTCAGAAAAAAAAAAAAAAAAAAACAACAGGTTTCTATTGTATTCAAAGGTTAACATTTATCACAATAGATTTTTTTTTTTCCGGAACCGGGGATTGAACTCAGATCCTTGCATTTGTCAGTCAAGTGCTTATCCTACTGAGCCATCTCCCTGGCCCCTATCACAATAGATTTTTTCAGAACAGGTTCCAGTTAAAGACCATCTTGAGCTGAGCAGGAAATCCTTCAGGTCTTGTCTGGTATGAAGACCTGAGGGATACTCACTGAGACATAGGAAGAGAATGGTCACCAGTCACCTACTGGCCACTTTCATTCATAGGGCCTTCAGCCCTCAGGAAGTCATCAAAAACTGACAGGTTTGATGAAGCTCATTCTTTCTCTGAGGGCCCAACTAAGGTGGCACAGTCTGTGAAGGTGCTGTGCTTTGTGGGAGATGCTGCTTGTGTCTGAAATCCTCTCCCTGGGCTGACTCATTTGCTTACCTGAGATCCTTCCAGCCCTTGAATGACAGCTGTACCCTCTCTGAGCCTCCTGAGGAGCCTGCTGAGGAACCTGAAGGCCCTATGAATGAAAGTGGCCAGCAAGTAACCTTGGGACAGCCAAATAGCTCAGTGGATTAAAGCACCTGCTTAGGCAGACGCAGTGGCCAGGATTCGATCACCAGCGTGTGCTTAGAAAGCGGTTTGAGACTGGGTGTGGTGGTTAGCACCTGTAATCCCAGCTCTTTGGGAGGCTGAACACAGGCAGATCACTGTGAGTCCAATCTAGGCAGTGAGACCCTGTAGACCCTTACTAAAAAAAATGTAGTGACCTTTTTTTTTTTTTTTTGTCTCTTCTGCTCACTTTTGACAGTCAGAAATACCTACTCCTGCTTTTCTCATTTGAGTAATTCAAAGTATAAATAAAAAGCAAAATAAAGATTGGTAAGAGGAAAAAGAGAAATTGCTCTTTGATAAATGGGTTGGGGACAAGTGGGATAAGAAGACATGATGGCAGGAGGCAGAAATGCAGAGCTTTCCCTGTCCCCATTGGGGTTAAGGGAGCTTTCTGAGATGCATGTCAGTCCCATTCTTAGACTCAACACAAATTTTGCCAGGGAGAAAGGGATCCTGGTGGGATCTGAAGGCAGACCAGAGTGTAACAGGGGCAAGGCCACACCCAGCTTGAGTTTAGTCACAGAAAATGTTTCCCAGTGTAGTTCCTGGGCCAGGAAGAGGCAATGAAACAGGCAATTTGAGAAGCCATTCTGAGCTGTACCTTTTTGACCCCTGAGCCCCAGCCCAAATCTGGAACTCAACCTTCCTCTATGGGTCTGGGCTCAGGCCAACCTCTTTCCTTACCAATCACTCGTACGTCTATATTCCAGGTTATGGTCAATGCTCTTCTGATCTTTGACAAGGTCCTCTGTCTTCCAAGTCTAGCCTAACCCTACATTTGGTCTTTCAGACATTAAATCTCTATTAAGATAGCACCAGGCTCTAAGGAACAGCCCAGTTGTGTGAATAATTTATAGTTAATCACTGGTATGCTCACTCCACCTCTAACCATTTCTAGATCTCCATTGTGAAGAGCATTTTTAGGGCTGTATGGAGACAGATTGGCCATACTATCAGGGACCACTATGTAGGGGAATAAATGGGGATATAGGTTCTGATAAGAGAAGACAAGACGAGTCGGAAAACTAGAAAGCATTTGGCAAACACTGTGGATTGAAGTATGCTAGGAAAACTCAGAAACTATCTTCCCTTCTTTCTCTGTTACCCTATCTGCCTCTCACCCAATGGTCAACCTCTTATCTTCTATTGGATTAATATCCTGGAAAGACATAAAAGAAATGTCTTCTGCCAAATTGAAAGGGGACTAACAGTACAAAGAATGATGGACAGGCCCAGCTTCACAAGAAAATGAGTTTCTATGGGTTACTTACAAAACATAGATCACTTGAAGGATATAACACTAACAAAGTGCCAGCTCCCCTTTGTTAATCTACTGGTTTATAGAGAACTAATTAAGACAGCAAAAGCAAGAAATTACCTTGGGGAAAGTGTGTATTGCTTTCCAAACCCATTCTTATTAGGAGCTCTGGTCTTGGTAAGCAGGCTCTAATCCCAGTGTTGGGGCCTAGTATCCAATCTCAGCACCCTGTGAAGGTTCCCTGGACAACTAGATAGAGGAAATGTCCATCACAAGATGAAGTTGCTTTGGCTAAGGTTTGTATGACAATGCTCACTACAACCACTCTTCATATTGGTTTTTAAAAATTAGTGAAACACAATAGTAGGGGCTCCATGCCCTACAGAAGTATAGAAACAGAAGAAAAAGAAAGAAAATGAATCAATTTTCATGCACTTACTTGGCTCAAGGGAGAACATCAAATGTAACAGCATTAGTTTAGAGTATTTAAAATGGAGTTGGGAGGCCATGGCTAATCAAATCTTAGTCATGTTCACAGCTGGAACTGGACCAAATCATTTTTTTTGTTTTTTTAAATGAGAGACTTTTTATTTTTTACCCATATTTTTATTGATAAACAAATAGCAATGAGACAGTTTCAAATCAAATTGGTAGGACAGTTTCAATAATAACACATTGCATACATTCTTCCTAGTGGTTAATTGCTGTACAAGATGCGGACATGATATCCTATTTACAAATGCCATTAGAACAAATCCCTCTATTCATTAAGAGAATGTAACTATATATCTATCCTAACCACTTTGAATACACAGATACAAAATGGACATTCACCTGTATCCCCTTTTTTTGTTAAGTTCCGTTATTTGAATATTATAGGTGTGTAAACTCAGCAAAATATTCTAAAAGAGTCCAGTAGCCCATAATAGTATTAGGTCTTCCGCTTGACTGGCAATGTCAGAAATTCTTGACCTGAGTCCCTTACAGCTCAACATAACACCATGGCTTTACTTCTTATATTTCGTTTTTATACTTTTCTGCTGGATGGTTAAGACCAAGGTAAAGCAGGACCTGTGCAACAAGAGTTGTAGCTTTTGGTCTGATAAGGTCAGTGAAATCCCCTCAGGATTTATTGTGAGATCCTGTACCTTAGATTGTAGAAGTTTTGTCAGTGTCAGCCATGTGGATGAGTCACGGCCATTGCTTGGCCAATGTGCTTTCTGTGAAAGCCTGAGAGAATGTTTTCTATCCATGTGACTCTCCTTAGGCACACTCTACATCATCAATCACTTTCCTCTTTGGTCCCATAATCTTGATCAGATAACTTGGGACACCACAGAGTTACATGACATTACTCTCATATGTACAAGTTCTCATATGTCCTGAGTCTTAATTGACCTTGGAAGGCTAGGGCCAAAATGTTGGCTTTCCTTGCAGCCCTCCTTTTTCTCTAATTTTGGTCTGCAAACTTAGGTTGTTAACGACCCAGAAGACAAGCTTATTGTTATTACCAAATCAGTTTCTTAAAGTATTGAGAATGGCTGATGATCTCTATTATAGACGTCTTCCTCAAACCACTCTGACAGTGAGATTCCACCCAATTATTTGCTTGTAAGACTTCTTAACTTTTGCCAGAACCAATCACAATTTCTGACTAATAAGTGATGTAATTTCGAACTCCCCTCACCAACCTAATGCTATAAATACATCCATCGTTTTGTAAAACCTCAGAACACATTTTCAAGACTTTGTTAATGCATTTTCTTTTCTTTTTTTTTTTTTTTACAAATTCTGCTTTTATTTTATTTTATTTTATTTTATTATTTTATTTTTTTTGGCAGAACCGGGAATTGAACACAGACCCTCGCACTTGCCAGGGAAGCGCTTATCCTAATGAGCCATCTCCCAGCTCAAAGGCATAAGGTGTTTTTTTTTTGTTTGTTGTTTTTTTTTTTGGTTCCTCGAAAGCCTTCAGGGCACTTTTGGCCAGCAGGAGAGTTGTGAGGTTCGAACTCCAGGAACCTGAGGCTGACAGCTTTGTGGAAGCAGCCACTTAAAGGACTGAGCTACGGCCAGGCCCCTAAGGACTGAGCTAGGGCCAGGCCCCTGCATTTTCCTAGATTGTAACGCTAGCTAATCCCCCCAAATGTAATTTTGGTTATACAAATGTAATTTTCCTTCTTGAAAAACATTAGTATGCTATATGGTACATAAAACTGCTCACTTTAATTTTAGTTGCACAAAGACAATTTCATTCCCGATGATGCACAATGGAGCAAGGAGGCCCAATTATTCCACCAATGTTTCCTGCCTTACATAAGGTGCTTGAAATGCTGTTTTCCAACATGTTCCAGGTTTAGAAGCTGGTAGGAAACCTGGTCTTTCTCCCAGGTTTCCTGCAACCTCTACATGTCAATATATCTAGTATGACCAATATGTCACCTTCTTATAGTAGCAGAAATTAACTTCAATATCTGTTGTGAGCTTAAAGTAGACATAATGAGCACAAGCAGATCACCATGTCAAGTGCACACAGTTTGCTGAAATACTGGAATCCTCATAGCATTGATGAACAATTGTCACTTCTGAGCCCCCTGAGGTGCTTTTAAGCCCTGTGTGAAGGATGCTGACAGGTGACTGGCAACATGCCAGGCTAAGCTTTCTCCTAACATTCTGTCTATAGAAAGCAGGGTCACCTCATATGAGATCTGGCCTGTTAAGTAAGGCTTTCTTGCTGAGCTCAAGATAGGTTCCAGCTTGGAACTATTCTGAAAAATCTAATTTGGAAACATTCATCCTTGAATAGAATGGAGGCCTTTTCTCTCTCCAGGATGAGACCCTCCAAGATGAGACCTTTGTGC